CTCCTGGAGGATCTGAGCTGAGATCTCACTGGTGAGAGGAACCAGTGATGCAAAAATCTAGGGGAGAAATTCTCTGGCAGCCAATGCACAGGTCTGGAAATGCACTCAGTGATCAAATGCTTGCCTAGCATGCACAGGGCCATAATCCTAACACGCATGCACGCGTGCACACACACAGACACACACACACACACACACACACACAGAGTAGCAAATATAATCCCAGGGCTGGAGAGGCAGAGATAAGAGGACCCTTGGGGCTCATTGGCCAGCCTACCCTAGCCCCAGGTCTCAATGAGAGAAAGACCCTCTCTCAAAAAACAAGATGGGATGTCTGGTTGGCACACACCTTTAATCCCAGCACTCAGGAGGCAGAGGCAGGTGGCTCTCTGTGAGATGAAGGCCAGTCTGGTCAACATAGTGAGTTCCAGGCCAGCTGGAGATATAAGGAGAACCTGTATAAATAAATGAGTAAATAAATAAATAAATAAATAATAAAAAGAGAAAGAAGGAAGAAAGGAAGGAAGAAAGAAGAAAAAAAGATGGGGCAGAGGGTGGTGAAATGGCTCAGCAGGTAAAGCATTTGCCAACAAGCCTGCTGACAAGAATTTGATCCCTGGTACCCACACAGTAGAAAGAAAGAACTGACTCCTATGAGCTGTCCTCTGACCTCAACACAAGTGCAGTGGATGCACACACCCATATACACACATAAATAAGTAAATCAAGAAATAAATGTAATACAATTTTTTAGAAAACCAAGATGGACAACTCCTGAGGAACAACACCTGAGGTTGACTTCTGCCTGCACTTGCACACATGTATATGCATGGATACACACACACACACACACACACAGGGCAGGAGTGGATATTGGGAGTCTAATGAAAAGGTGATGGTTGCCAGTCATCTGGTGAGTTATGGATGTGGAGCAGCAGGACCTACTGCCAGACTGGATGTGACTGGGATGCTAACAGTGAAGTCAGAGACCAACCCTGGAAACTACACTGTGGGCAAGTATAGACAAAACCACTTTGGAAAGCTGTTTGGTCATATCTCCTAAGGTTGAGCATATAGGTGTCCTTCGGCCCAGAAGTTTTACTCTTAGTTCACATGCCAAAGAAAGGGCTGTCTGTGTTCCAGAGGACTTTTCCAAGAACCATCATAGCAACATTATTGCTAATAATCTCAAACCAGAATCTACTCAGATGTCTACCAACAGCAAAATAGGTTATTGCCAGGCATTCACAGAATGGAATTATGCATAGTACTAAGAATAAACCATCTACAATGGACCCAATATTGATGGATCTCACAAATACATCATTAAGCAAAAGGAACCAGGAGACACAAAAAAGTGCATGCCTCATAGAGGTTTTTAATAGTTAAATAGTTAGAGGGGGTGGGGCAGTGTGATGGCTCAGTGGGTAAGACTGCCTCCTGTACAACCACTAGGAAGGAGAGCATAAACTCCCGAAAATTGTCCTCTCTGTGTGAGTGCACACACCCATACTCACACACATACACACACAATAACAAAATTTATTTATATTGTAAAATATAAGTACAATAATTAAAAAAAAAACAGTGACCAAAGCCAAGAGTGGTGGCTCATACGTATAAATGCCAGCACTTGGGAGACAGAAACAGGGGGATTGCTGTGAGTTCAAGGTCAGTCTGTACATTGTGAATTCCAGGCTTATAGAGTGAGACCTAGTCTCAAAAAAACAAACAAAACCAAAGCAAGCAAGCAGAAAAATAGTCAAGTCTATTAAGTTGTTTGAAGCAGTAAAAGTAATGTCTCTTGGAGAGAAGAGATTGTAATGGAGCATGGGGGCCTCCAGGAAACTGGTAGTGTTTTATTTCTGGGTCTGGGTGCTGGTCACAGTTGTGGTCAGTTTATGATGTACACTTGAAATAGGTGCACTTGTCTGTACGGGTGTTTTGCTTTGTTTTATTTTGAAACAGGGCCTCATGTAACCCAGACTGACTATACACTCATTACATAGCCGATGATGCTCTTGAATTCTGATATTCCTGCCTCTACTCCCAAGTGAGGGGATTATAGGTGTGGACCACCATGTCTGTTTTATGCTGTGCTGGGGATCAAACCCAGGGCTTCATGCATGCTAGACAAGTACTCTACCAACTGAGCCACATCCCCAATTTGCCTGTGTGTTTGTTATATTGAAGAAATAATTCTCAACTGGGGGCAATGTACAGAAAGTTTCAGTTGTCACAACTGGAGAGGGCATAGTACTGATGGGTAGCTAAAGGCCACTTGTGTCCTCTGGTATATGCCGAGGCTACCTGAGGAGGGTGAGTTCCAGGTTCACCATCACCTTACTGTGTGCCACCTTGACACTGGGACCTGGGTCACAGAAGTACCACTGACCCTCAGCGAGTCTGGCACCTGGCCATAGGTCTCACAACCTCCTAGAGGAAGACACCAAATGTCTTATCAAGTATAGGATGGTCCCCACAAGAAAGTATTCAAGCCAGGTATGGTGGTGTATGTTTGCAATCCCACACTTAGGAGGATCAGGACTTCAAGGTCATCTTGGGTTACATATTGAGTTTGAGGTCAGAGGTCAGTCTGGAATACATGAGACCCTGGAGAAAGAGGAGAGAGAGAGAGAGAGAGAGAGAGAGAGAGAGAGAGAGAGAGAGAGAGAGAGAATATTCAATTTCAGCCATAGCAGGACTGAGTAACCCTAGACTATAAGAAGTTTAAACAACTGAACTTTCTCCTAGATTTTAGCATGATTGGCTATTAAGCTTGAGGGTGGATGGCACTGAAATTGTGTTAAGGTGATCGTGCCTGAGGAGGAGCTTGTTTGGAAGGTGAAGCCTGAGTGTGGGGTTTGGATCTATTTAAGTGAAATGCCTATTAAGCCATGAAGACCAGGTGGCTGAGCCTATGAGTCTGGGGCTCAGGAAATTGTTATGGTGGGGGATGACAGGTTGGGAGTCTTTAGCACAGACATGCTATTCAAAATCAGAAGGCTGGAGAGACAGCAGGGAATAAGTGTCCCCAGAGAGAAAAGATTGAGCACACTCAAGGATCAAGCACAAGGGTGCTCTAGGTTGAGAGGCTAAAAAGAGGTGACAGGGGCCAGGCATGGTGGCGCACGCCTTTAGTCCCAGCACTTGAGAGGCAGAAGCAGGCGGATCTTTGTGAGTTCGAAGCCAGCCTGGTCTACATAGTGAGTTCCAGGACAGCTGGGGCTACAGGGAGACCCTGTCTCAAAAAGACCAAAAAAAAAAAAAAAAGAGGTGACAGAAGAGCCAGGAGTTGGGGATGCTTCAGAGACCCAGTGAGGAAAGCATTTCTGGAAGAAGGGCAGGATCAACAGTCATCTCACACGTGTGGATCTAGGATAAACAGTGCCCATTGTGCTGGCTGCAGGAGGCCACAGGTGGCTCAGAAGATGGTGACTCTGTGGGGTCCTGTGGGAGCCAGTCTGGATGGTTGCTCAGAGCCAGGGAATGAGGAAGTGGAGACAGGGAGCAAAGATCAGGCCTGGGGAAGTTCTACAGTGAGTGGGCATGGGGTAGAGACCTGGAATCTTACCTCAGGGGAGACAGGGTGAAGAGGGATTTAAACAGGGCATTAAGGAACTCCTGTATGCCAAAGGGAGCAGCTCATTCCTGAGCTGGAAACTGGCTGAAAGAGGAAGGTTGAGGGCAGCTCTCTCAGCTCCTCCTTAAACTCCCACTTAGACAACAGGTCCAGAAGATCTGATCAAGTTCCTGACCTCATTCTACCCTCTCCATGCAAGAGTTCACACAGTTCTGCTCAGTTCTCAATGCTTGGAGTCTTCTTTCCTCTGTGGACACACATACCCTCCCCCTAGTTTCCCATGGTATGAAAACTGCTCTGATCCTTACATGTGCTGTTTCATGCACACTCAGGTAAGGGTGAAAAATAGGCCCGTTTTCAGATTGATGGTTTGGGCAGGGTGCTCTCTAAAGACTTTCCCAGGAAGATACTTGGTCATCTTTCCTGAGTCAGTTCCCACTTACAAGTCATCTTGGCTGGAAAACATTCTCCAACATCAACCACAATACACAAAATCAATCTCTCTCTCTCCCTCCCTCCCTCCCCCCCCATGAATAAAAGACCCTGTGCTTTATATTCTCCAAGCACGATGCCACTGCCACTAACCACAGAACTTCTCCCCTGTAACTGAGCTGGACTGTCTTGAGTGGAGCCTGGAGTCTGCTTAAAGCATGCTCCCAGGGTGCTGTTTGAGGACCACTGAGAAGTCCTTGAGAAAAGAACCATAGTCCAATTCATTCCTCTGCCCCCAGGGCCTAGCACAGAGTCTGGTTCCTGAGGATGCCCAATAAATACTTGATGAACCAGTAGCTTGGTTTATCAGCTGTAAAAGAGGAATAATCACATAACACCCTCCTAGTAGGAAAGATTGAGTATATTAATATTTATGCAGAGATTAGAGCACTGCCTGGCACACAGTAAGCACTCTATCAATTAATACATGCATGCATACATGAACAGGAATGTATACATAAATTTTTTTAAAAGTGGCTCAGGTCAGCAAGATGGCTTAGCAGGTGAAGCACTTGCTCTGAAAGTCTGACTTCAACCCCAAGATCCCACATAAAACTGGAAGGAGGGGCTGGAGAGATGGCTCAGCAGTTAAGAGCACTGCCTGCTCTTGCAGAGGACCCAGGTTCAATTCCCAGCACGCTCATGGTGGCTACAAACCATCCTTAACTCCAGTTCCAGGGGAATCTGACACCCTCTTCTGACCTCTGCAGCACTGCATGACACGGGTGCACTCACATACATGCAGGCAATACACTCATACACATAAAAAATAATAATAATAAAATAATTTTTTTTAAAAACTGGAAGAAGAAAACTGACTCCATAAAGTTGTCCTCTGACTTCCATGTGCACACCATAACACACATATCATATACACACACGATCATAAATAAATATTTTAAAGTAGCTGGTAAAGGTTAGAGAATCATTGTTTATTAGAAATAGTCCAACAAAAAAAGGTGTGAAGAGAGGGCCCAGCCCTCCTCCCCATCCTCTAGAAGAGACCACCAGTTTGTATCCAGCAAACTGGCTCCTTTCCCACTGGAGGAGTCCCCAGACACTCGCACTGCACTGCTGAAGCAAAATGGGACCCTAGTCCTCACGGCACTGCAGGATGTCATAGGTCACATAGCCCACTTGGTCCACCTGGTTCACCTCGTTCCAGGAAGTCACGCGCCAGAAAAAGCGGTCCTGGCAGAAGTAGACTTTCTCTGTAGGGAACAGGGAGACATGAATGAGGTGATTTCTATACTTGTCTACAGACACAGAAGCAAGATCTTTACAACCCCCCTTCCTGGCCTTTCTAGATCTTTCCTCAGTTTTCACACAACACTTTCATCTCCTCTACCTGCTGTAAAATGCTGAAGGGCACAGAACTTATGCTCAAAGTACTGGTACAAAGTCTGGTGCATAGTAGGTACTCCATAAACAGATTGTGAGTGAATGAGTAGATGACTGGATGGGTGGCCTATTTTAATGTTCAGAACAACTCATCCAACATTCATTCATTAGACAAGTCATTCATTCAACAAATGTTTACTGAGTACCTGCTATGTGCCAAGCCCTGTTGGAGGCATTAGGATTGCAGCAGGAAAAAAAAAATAGACATGATTTCAAGAAACAGGACGAAATAAAAACGGGTGAGTGAATAACAAGAAACAAGAACAAACTCTGAAATGGTGACCTAAGTATTGAAGCCTGAAGGCTGAGAGAGAGGCAGCCAGGTGACAATTCAGGGGAAAGGCCTTCCAAATGGAGGGAACAACTGGCACAGAGGCCCTAAGCTAAGAATGACCCTGATCTGTCCAAAGAGCAGCCAGCACAGGTGGAATAGAGTGAATGCCAGGAGGAGGAGGAGGAAGAGGAGGAGGAGGAGGAGGAGGAGGAGGAGGAGGTACGCCAGTGGAGGTCAGATCATGGTCCTGTCTTCCACCTTGGAATGTGTCTGCGGTCACCCTCAGACCACTGCCTTCCACTCCTAACTCCTCCCCACTCTCACAGAATATGTTAAAGGTTACTAGACAGCCAGTGTAGCTTGGAGGGAGAAGGTGTAGAGGAGACGGTTGAAAACGATAGATTCGGGAGAGATTTGGGCCTTGGAATCAGCAGACCTTGTCAACTGATGAATATGCGTAGTGGAAAAGAGGAAGCAAACACAGTGCTGTTTACAGATGGGGAAACTGACTCCAGCAGTGGGGCTGGAGAGATGGGTAAGTGGTTAAGAGCACTGGCTGCTCTTGCAAAGGACCTGGGTTCAGTTCCCAGCACCCACAGAGCAGCTAACAACCGTCCATAATTCCGGTTCCAAGGGATCGGATGCCATCTTCTGACCTCCGTGGACATTACACAACACAGGTGCACTTATATACATGCAGGCAATACACTCATACACATAAAATAAAATAAATAAAAATTTAAAAACAAAATATAAAAAACCCAATAAAATAGAAGTAGCAGGGACTTACCCAAAGACAGCTAAAACTGTCCTATCTCTCGCTGTATTCTCAGTGGTGGCCTGCATATTATAGGCCATTGATAACTATTGCCTGATAAAGGAATGGGCCTTTTTGCATACTGTGCTCTTTGCTGAAGGGAAAGAGCTTCCAGAAGAATAAGCACACAAACACACACAAAAATACAAAATAAAATAAAATCTTAGGGGTTGGAGAGATGGCTCAGAGGTTAAAAGCACGTCTTGCTCTTCCAGAGGACCAGCGTTGGGTTCCAAGCACCCACATGGCAGTTCACAACCAGCTGTAACTCCAGCTCCATGGGATCCAACGCCCTCTTCGAGTTATTCCATGCATGCACTGGACTTACATGCATGCAGGCAAACACATACACCGAAATACTTTTTTTTTTTTTTATATATAAGAAATTAGGATCTTAAAACTGGCTCTATGACCTAGGGACGCTCTCTACAGGAATCCTGCGTGCTGGGGGCATTTTCCTCAATCTTCAAGGACCCGTTCTCTCCTGCTGGGGAACTGGCCAATCACTAAGTCAGGGGAGCCCAGCATGGGCGGGCTCTCAAGGAGAGACACTCCGCAGCGCGCGGCCCTCACCTCGGTACTGAAAGACGTCGTGCGCGTTCCGGGGCACCCCGGAGAACACCCTGTCCAGGCTAGTGACGCTCTGGGGATCCACGGTCTGCGTCTTCAAGTTGAACCTGCAGGAAGGCGGCCCGCAGGCAGGTGATGAGCCGGGCGGGGGGGGGGGGGGGGGGGAGGAGAAGAAGAATATGAGGGTGCACGGCGCCGGGGCGCCCCCTGCCGGCCGCCGCGCGCTCTCACCTCCAGACACGCTCCCCGCTGAACAGCAGCGCCTTTCCCCCGCGATGCCGGACGACCCCGGTGACTTGGGTCACCCCCGAGCCGAGACCCAGCTTGTCCAGGCGCCTCGGGCCCAGAACCGACTGGCCTGTGTACACCCACACTTGGCGCCCTGCGAAGAAGAAAGACCACGCTGGGCTGGGGACAGGAGGGCGGGGCACAGGCTCTTGGAGGAAGAAGCCAGCTAGGCCTAGTCTAGGATGTCACCCAAGGAGCACACCGCCGAAATTCAATACCCCCTGCCCAATAAATATGAAATTGCGGGGGCTGGAGAGATGGCTCAGCGATTCAGAGCACTGGCTGCTCTTGCAGAGGATCCAGGTTCGATTCCCAGATCCCACAGGGCAGCTAACAACCATCGTAACTCCAGTTCCAGAGGATCCGATGCCCTTTTCTGACCTCCGGGGACATTGCACGACACAGGTGCACTTAAACACATGCAGGCAATACACTCGTACACATAAAATAAAAATAATAAAAATATTAATTTTTTAAAAAAGTGTTACATTGTAAATTGCCCACCATGAGGGAGCGCCCCTTTCTAGTCGCAGAGCCTGTCATGGATTGTGCCCTAAACTGGTAGGTATTGAGGAATGGACGGCTAGAGAGGAGGAAACTAACCAGAGAAGAAGAAAATCTTCTTGGACTGTGGGTCCTCAAACGCGGAGTCCAGCTTAGCTGGCAAAGCCGGCCACGAGCGGGCAATGAGAAACGGGCCCTGCAGCTGGCGTCCTCTGAGCTCTGAGAACTTCCAGTACCGGCTGAGGAGAAAGGAAATAGCCTTGGACTGGGGAGAAAAGTGGGTGGGAGGCCTGGGCAGGTCCCTCTCCAAACCCCCTCTCCCATCCACACATCCCTCCTGCTCACCCATTCTTGAAGAAATGCAAAGAACCCTGAATTTCCGTGATGGCGTCGAAAATATTCACGTTGCAGGGATTGTCTGCTGGACCCAAAGACACTGTAGGAGCCTCAGAAGGGCCAGCAGTGGGGGGACCTGTAGGGCCAGCTGAGGGGGCACCTGTAGGGCCAACCGTGGGCTGCTCAGAGGGGTAGGCAGTCGGAGGTGCAGTGGGGCAGACAGTAGGAGGAACTGTGGGCTGTGGTTGAGCTGTGGTTGTGGCTGGAGGCCTTGGGTCAGGCTTAGGGCCAGGACCTAAAAAGAAGCATCAGGTAAAACACTCTTATTCAACATTTCTCTGTGTCCCAAGCCTAGCAGTGAGGCCTGCACTGGTGCACCCTTCTCCTCATTTGAACCTGGAGCCTGCCTCCCCTCTAAGCTACAAGCAGGCCATTTCCCATACATACATCAAGCCATAACTACCCAGTCCTGGGCTCTGTCAAGATCTGGGCTGGGTCCTAAGGACAGACTCTCCCCCCTCTTCTAAGCCAGGGTAGGAGAGTGTCTTTTGAGTGCTCACCATGTTAGACAATGCTGTAAACTTTATAAAACTCACAAAATTGGTTCATTTGACCTTCATAGAAAGACTATGAATTAGGTTCTTTAATATCCCCAACATATACCTTTTTCTTGAGACACGGTCTCATTATATAGTCCAGGCTGACCTCAAACTCATGGTAATCTTCCTTCCTCATCCCTTGAGTGCCGGCATTACAGGTTTGCAACACCATACCCACTCCAAATCCCCATTTAAAAGAAAACCAGATGGGAGCTGGAGAGATGGCTCAACAGTTAAGACCACTGGCTGCTCTTGTAGAGGACCTAGGTTCAATTCCCAGCACCCACATGGCAGTTAACAACCGTTTGTAATGCCAGTTCCAGGGGATTCTGAAGCTCTCTTCTGACCTCTTCAGGCACTGCATGACATGGGTGCACTTACATACATGCAGGCAATATACTCATACACACAAAATAATAATAACAATTAAAAATATTTATGTTCAAGGAGTTTTGATATCAGGGTAAGTGATGATAATACAAATTTAAATATGGAACATGCACATGGTGCTTCCTATAGCCAAGTATCATTCTAATTCATTTAACCCTTTCAAAACCTCATGAGAGATGTACTATTGTTACCCCATCTTATATAGGAGGGAATTAAAGGGTGACCTGACATATTTAAAGTCACCTATGAAGTGGCTGGACTACCCCACGCCCTGCCTATCAAACCCAGCGCTTCATGCATGCCTAGCAATATTTGGCAAGTACTCTGACCACTAAGTTACATGCCCACCCTAGACTGGCTTTTGAACCCACATCTACCTTTCTCTAGAGTGGCATCTCAGAGCACTCCCAAGGCAGCAACTGAGGTGGCAACTGCACTCAGGCCCTGTCCAACTCTTCCCTCAGTCCTATGGCTGAGTCACATCCCCCACTCTGCTCCTCCATCCCTGCCCTCCAGCCTCACCATAGAGATGCTGGATGCCTCTCACATCATCCTCATGCAGAGGGGAGCCCTCAAGGAAGCGGTACATGGGATACATGAGCGCCTCTGGCACTGTCGAATGATCCAAGCCCAGTGCGTGGCCAAACTCATGTGCTGCCACCAGGAAAAGGCTGTATCCTGGAAGGAAAGAGGAGCCTGGGATTCGAACATCTGACCAAAGCCCCAGCCCTAGCCATTCCACCACCACCACTGTCAGGGGTTGCTGTGAACCCCACCCTGGAGCATCGGAAGCCTACCCACCTTGATCAGGGCAGAAACCCCACTTCTTGTCGCTGTCGAAGTTGGAGGTGGTGGCGCACCAAAGGCGCCCATCAGTTCGGCCCTCGCTGGTACAGGTGGAGTACTCCTTGCCCAGGAAGATGAAGGGGAATTTGCACAGCTTGCCTGCGGAGTTGCCACCAATCACAGTGGCGTCAGCTGGAGAGACATAGTGATAAAGAGAGCCAGGTGGGTGAATCAAATAGGATATGAGGGGTGGGCCCAGTGAAGGGATAGGCTAGAGAATCTTGGTGGCCTATTTTTTAAGCCTAGGAGGCAGTTGCAGTGACCAGGAAAGGTGAATGGGCTGAGCCTAGGGCACAAGACCAAGAAAGAGTCTGCAGGCTAAAGGAAAAAGTCCACAGCTGAGTCGTTGCCCATTCAGGAGGAGGGGATGTGGTGATGGCAGATGGGAGGAAGAAGATTGGGTTGGGGGGAGCAGGGCTGAACCTGGTAGGCAGGGCAGAAGTACCTCGGGTAGGGCAGAAGCCATAGAGTTTATCCTGGTCGTAGTTGGGGGTGGTAGCACACCAGCGGTAGCCATCCGAACGACCTTCAGTGGTGCAGGCAGAGTAGGAACGGCCGTCGAAGGTGAATGGAAACACACAGGGTTTCCCGTCCCCATTGCCATGTTCAGTGTAGAGTCCTGGGGAGACCCATACTATTACCCCAAAGTATGACATAGGCCATCTGGGGCCCTCTTATTTCACAGATGAGGAAACTGGGCCCAGAGAAAGGGAAAAGTGACTTGGCCGCACAGCACTAGCGACAAAGTTGGGATTCGAACCTGAGATTCTGGGTGCCCAGGTGCCTGCAACCCGCCCCACAACCCCACACTCACTCTCGCTGGGGCAGAAGCCAAACTGGCGGTCTGTGTCATAGTCCGCGGTGGTGCTGCACCAAGGTGTCCCATCCGTGCGGCCATCTGTGGTGCAGGCCAAGTAGGAGCGGCCCTCGAAGGTGAAGGGGAAGTGACACGGGGCACCATTAGCGTTTCCAAAGTGTGTGGGAACCACTGTAGGAAGAAGCGGAGGGTGAGTCAGGGTGGCTGGCGATGGGTGAGAAAGAAGCAAGAAGAAAGGAGGAGAGACGCCAAGGCCGCTCAGGATCTCACCAACGCCTTTGCCCAGCGACCACAGTTCTTCATCGTCGAAGTGGGCATCACCCTGAATCCCGGGGCCAGGAGGAAACGCGTGTGCCAGGAGCCCATCCTTCCCGTCGAAGGGATACCCGTCTCCGTGCTCTGCAGAAGCAGATGGAGAGGAAGAGAGTCAGCCAACTACAGTTGCGTAGAGTTTGCTCTCTTCAAGGACCAGAGACTGACAGCCGGCTGGATCCCCCTGAGCGCAGCTCTCCAGGCCTTGCTCCGCGGCGCTGCCCCTGTACCACAGGAGAGGTTGCCATTCGGGTGGGCGGCGGCCAAGGATGCCGAAGCAGGCCAAAGGGCTGATCTGCTATACCCTCTAGGCTCTCCGTGGTCTTCCCTCCCATGTCCTGCCCGGGAGTTCTCACCCGCGACACCAAACTGGATGACGATGTCTGCGTCACGACTGTACACGCGGGTGAAGGTGAGCGGTGTCACTGCGCTCCACACCGCGAAGGCGCGAGCGAAGGCGTCATCGATCACGTCTCGCGGCAAGTCTTCCGAGTAGTTTTGGATCCTGTAGGTGAAAAGCAAGCGGAGAGGGCGTGATCAGCTTAAGTTGGGGCGGGACGGCAGCTACACGGACGCCTCCTCAGTCTTCAACATTTCCAGAGCTCCCTGCGGATGCGGCTTTCAAACATAAAGTGCCTTCAGGAGCATCGCCCCCTCCCCGCCTTTAGACTTCTAAATGACCCTGACGGGAGTATTTGGGTTACTAGGACAAGTTATGTTCAATCAAGCAGAGGTGCAGACTGACCTCCAGTCCCACCCCAGCCATCTTCGAACCCAGCATCTCACCAGTAAGTGATGTTGGTGTGGTGCCACTTGAGGTCACCCTCGAAGGTTTGGAATTTGCCCAGGTCTGGGACACCACAGCGTGGGGTACGAATAGCCTCTAGGGTTTTGCTGTCTAGCTCTCCAGTCTGGGGCAGGGACAGCTGCTTCTGAAGGAGCAGTAGTGCTGGCCGCAGGGATAGCTTCTCTCCTTGCATCTCAGCAACCCGGGTGTAACCATATCGGAACAGGTATTCCTATGGGTGGAGGGGCAAAGACATACAAGAGTACTGGCACCATTTCCTTGAACCAAGACTGTCACTCCACATGCTTAGGGACTCTAATCACAAGACACCAGATCTTCCTGCAGCAGCCAAGAATCTCCTCTACCCTTCCTGTGGATACCATAGCTCCTTCCCACCCCAGGTGATCTGAACCATGCCTACTCCACGGGCCCTCTGGGATTTAACTCCCAATGTGTGCATACTCCAGAACCCTCCAAAGTGGCCTCTGACATCCCATTGCCCCAGAAAACTTGCAGCTGTCCATTTCTGTTTATCACTGCCCAAAGCCTCCACAGCAACCCCATAGTACCTAACCTTGGACACCTGTTGCTCCAGACATTCCTTTACCCCTCCCCCACACACATCTGGAAATTATCTTGAGACTCCATGCTTTCTCAGGATACTGGGCATCTTCCTGGACAATCCTCCCCAACTCTCCACTGGGGCCTTTTTCTACCTGTGCCAGCTGCGAGTCGGTGAGATTGGTGGTTCTCAGATCCCGGGGGAAGACCACAAAAGTAGACTGGTGCCCGTGAGGGGCGGCAGAGCAGCAGCCTAGAACCAGGAACACTGAGGTCAGGGGCTGCCAGGGGTTCATGGTGAGGGTGGCAGTGTCTGGCTGCAGCTGCCTTTCCAGGGGCTTTAAAGAGGCACAAAACTGAATCAGTGACCCCGCCCCTCCCCTCCAGGCAAGTGCTGACTCAGGGTGTGTGTGTGTGTGTGTGTGTGTGTGTGTGTTAGGAAGCCCCAAGAAAGGCCTTATGTCACCTCCTCCTTTCACCCCTGCCCACAGTCCCGACTGCCAAGTCAGGCAGGACCCCAGACCCGCAGGAAACCACAGCACCCAGGGGAGGGATTGAGTTTTACAAACTGCAGAGTTTGTGGGAAACGGAGGGAGGGTGTCCAGGCTGGGGGACTCCCTTAACCCTCAGTCTGAAGGTCCAGGTGGACATCCTCCTGGAGGGCTAAAAGACTCCAAGATTCCCCCTTCTTGTCCTTCTGAGACACCCCCTTTCTAGTTCAACCTCCAGCCCCTCCCCACTCTGAGGGCTCTGTCCTCTCATCTCCCTGAAATGGTCCTTGACTCAGCTTCCTCTCCTCCCATCTGGAAGCAGAAGGAGTGAGGCAGGAATGGGGAATTCCACTGGGCAAGCCCCTTATCTTTGACCAGCCGACTCCTCAGGGTAGTAAAGGGGAGCTCCTGCACGTAGGAGAACCCACAGAAGCTTCGCCCTTCCTTTGGGCCTCAGGCAAATGTCTGAGTGTGCTTCCTTTGCTATTAAAAAAAAAAAAAAAAAAAGGCCTTTTGTCCCTAAATCGATGTGAGGATAAAATGAGATAAAACTCAAAAAACACACAAAATGCTTTTAGCCCAGTGGAGGTCCTCAACTGATGGCCCTGATTCCTTTAAACCACCTAGAGGCCACAGTTGGGATTGTTACAGAATCAGGAGCCTGGGGGCTTTGGCTCTAAGGCCTAGATAACAGGAGCACATGCCTTCCTCTTCCTGGACTGAGAAGTTTTCACCTGACCTTCCACTTTTCCAGCCCTGACTATCCAGGAACACTTCTGCACAGTCTCACCAACAGCCAGCAGCCTTCCTCCTTCCCTCCACAGCCCTGGTGGAACAGGACCTATATTTGCCTTCCATAAGCTGTGTTGACAGGGCCTACTATGTGCCCAGCACTTTAAATACTTTCCTAATGAATAAACCTTGTTCTCTCTATCCCCTCACCCGTGTGTGTGTGTGTGTGTGTGTGTGTGTGTGTGTGTTGAAAATCAAACTTAGGGCCTTGCACATGCTAAGCAAACACTCTACAATACTCTATTCCTAGCCCTTGTTTTTTGTTTGTTTGCTTGTTTGTGGGAGTATACGGGTGTGTAAATGTGTGTGCAGATGCACAGACCCATACATGCCTAGGCCAGAGGAGATCGTTGGGTATCCTACTCTGTAATGCTGTCTTCCTTATCCCCTTGAGACAGGTCTCTCACTGAACCTGGAATTGACTGTTTTTTAGATCAGCTAGCCTCCAACAAGCCCTAGAAATCCTCCCATTTCTGAGTGCCCCTCTCCTCAGTGCTGGGGTTATGGACACTGATGACTATGCCCAGTTTTTTAACATGTGTGCTGGGGATCCAAACACAGGTCTTCATGCTTGTGCAACAAATGCTCTTACTCACTGAGCCATCTCCCAACCCACCCTGGGTTTATTGAGACAGGATCTCACTATGCAGCTCAGGTTTGTATTGAACTTCTCATCTCCTGCCTCAGCATCCCAACTGCTGATACTATAAGTGTGCACCACCGTGCTTAGCTTATGAGGTAGGTTTGATATGTAATCCTTTTTTGGAATAGGAAACTGAGGCTCAGAGCAATCAAGGGACTTGCCAGTGATCATACAGTGACTTGATACAGAGCCAGGATTCAAGTCTTGGGCAGTCTGGTTCTGAAGTTTTTTATCTTTGTTATCATTTCTAGGGAACTGAGCAGACCAAAGTAGAAACAGATGAAAGAAGCAGGTTGCTAGGGCCTTAAAGCTTGCACCCTTCTCCTCTTACCCCCTGACAGTCACTCAGACACGGTCAGACGCTCTGGGTTTGGGGGGATCAGATGTTAATGACGAGAGATCCAGGGCAAGTATGTCACAGATTTAGGAGTGTGGAGGTCAAAGAGCAGCACAATTTTAGAAATGGAAACTAAGTAAGAGCCAGACATGAGTTTAGAAGAATCTATGAGCCATATCCTTAACTCGCCATCTATTATGCTGACTATGTCCTATGTGTGGGTGTCTTGTCTCTGTATTATGTCATATCCGTGCTGTATGTCACTTGTATACTGTATGTCACATCTGTGCTGTGTGTAATATCTATGCCATATGTCACATCCACACTGTAGGTTACGTCTGTGCTGTGTGTCACATGTATACTCTATGTCATGTCTGTGCCGTGTGTCATATCTGTACTGTTCACTCCTTTTCTCCAGTTTGGCACTCTTGGTACTTGGAGCTGATCGTTCTCTGTTTAGTGCCTTGGGCACTGCATTGTGTCTAGCAGCACCCTCAGCCTCTCTTCCTACTAGATGCCAGTAGCACCTCCCCCCTGCCAGTTGTGACAACCAGCAATGTTGCCAAACATTGCCAAATGTTCCTTGGGTGAGTGGGAGGGGAAGAACCCCTGGTGTGTGTTGATTTTTTTTTTTTTGTAAATGATTCAAAAGTTTCATTGGATACTCAAATCATTGGTGATGATCCTCAAATCTTTAATGACTGTTCAACTAGATAGTCATGGTGGCCCATAACTGTAATCTCAACACTTGGGAGGTAGAAGCAAGGTGATCAGAGCTCAAGGCCAGTCTCCCCTCATAGTAAGTATGAGGCCAGCCTAGGCCACACAAGATGCTGTCTCAAAATAAATAAAACAGGCCAGGCATGGTGGCGCCAACTTTCAATCCCAGCACTTGGGAGGCAGAGGCAGGTGGATCCCTGTGAGCTCAAGGCCAGCCTCATCTACGTAGTGAGTTCCAGGTCAGCTGGAGCTACCTTGTCTCAAAAAGACCAAAAATTTTTTTTTCAAATAAAACATATCCAACAAATGATTGATGAGTTTTATGAGACAGTGTGCTACAGCTCAGCACTCATCAGAAGTCCAACATCATCCTTGATTACTTAGCAAGTTCGAAGCCAGTCTGGACTACATGAGACCCTGACTCAAAAAATAAATAGATAGATAGATGATAGATAGATAGATAGATAGATAGATAGATAGATAGACAGACAGACAGACAGACAGACAGACAGACAGACAGATAGATAGATAGATAGATAGATAGATAGATAGATAGATAGATAGATAAGGAGAAAAGGCTACAGTGGTGACCTTTTATCTCCTTGTTCATGGGATTGACAGTCCAGTAGGGGAGAGACTAAATAAATAATTAGTCCAGAAGGCCAGTATGATGGCTCAACAGGTAAAAGCACTTATCACCAAGCCCAAGGATCTGAATTCAATCCCTGGAACCCACATGGCAAAAGGAAAGAAATAACTTCCACAAGTTGTCCTCTGACCTCCACATGCACACAGTGGCACATGCATGCCCACAATACATAAACAAAAATCAATAAAATGTAATAAATTACATTTAAAAATATTTTATTTGCTATTTTTATTTTATGTCTATGAATGTATTTCCTTCGTGTAGGTAAGTGCATTTGTGTCATGAAATGCTCTCAGAGGTAAGAAGAGTGTGTCGGATCCCCCAAAACTGGAATTACAGATGGCTGTTCGCTGTCATATGGGTGCTAAGAACCAAACCTGGGTCCTCTGCAAGATCAGCCAGTGCTCTTAACCACTGAACCATCTCTAGCCCCATAAATTAAATGAGAAAAATTGCTAATTCTTCTTTAAAAGTTTGGTGGGGGCCAGGGATGCAGGCTGTGCTGGATAGCTTTAGTGTTAACTTAGCACACCTGGGTAGAGGGAGCCTCAATAGGTGAATTGCCTCCATAGGACTGGCCTGTGGCCATGCCTGTAGGGAATCTTCTTGATGAGTGATATGGGAGGGCCCAGCCCACTGTGAGTGGTGCCACCCCTGAGCAGGTGGACCTGTGTTACATAAGAAAGCAGACTGAGCAGGGGCCAGGGGAGCAAGCCAGTAAGCAGCATTCCTCCATGGCCTGTGCTCCAGCTCCTGCCTCCAGGTTCCTGCCCTGAATTCCTATCTTGGGCTCCCTGATGAACTGTGACCTGGGAGATGTAAGATAAATAAACCCTTTCCTCCCCAAGTTGGTAGTGGTCAGAGCGTTTTGTCACAACAATGGAGAAACAAGCTAGAATAGATACAAACACCACGAATGAATATACCTATCTACACAATAGTGCAGACTGAGGCCCAGCACAGTCGCAGAACAAGCCAAGGACAGCATGTAGGGCAACTAGGAGGAACAATTGAACGCTCCCACTCTGAAGCCAGGTTACCTAAGCTCGAGCTCCAGCTCTGCCACTCACTGTGTCTCTAGTAACTGACATAACCTACCATTTTCCCCATATGTAAAACGGTGCTAATAACAGTGCTCCTGTGTGGGCCTGTTGTAAGGGTGCCTGGCAGGTAGTCTAAGTGATGGGCACTGCTACCTGGCTTTTGTCTTCAGAACTAATGGTGGTTCTTACCAACTGGGGAGACAGCACCCACAAGGGCTTGATTCCTGGAGTCCATTCAAGCAAGGACCCTTCTCTCCCTACCCCCAACTTCCTCCTTTACCTGCCCCCATCAAGGGGAACTTGGCGGCTAGCTTGGTTTTCAACACAGCCATAGCAGGAAGTGGTTCTAGTTACCACATCCCCTTCCTCACTTCCCCAGCTCTTTCTTCTAATACCACAAGAGACTTTAGCTAAAGACCCAGGAGGGGACGCAGAGAGCAGGAAGTGCCCCCCCCTTAGGAAAGCACAACCCTGACACCCAGATCCCTGACCTGGAGTCATTGACTCTAAAACCCTTACAGGAGAATGGGGAAGGGGGCTAGACCTGGAGCCCTGAGTCACCCACTGGGTGACACAGCCCTGGAGGTGACTATTAATAACTCCAGGCCTCCACAACAGGGC